CGCGGGCGACGGCGACAACAGGTGAGGGCGACGGTGAGGGCGCGGGCGACGGCGACAACGGGTGAGGGCGACGGCGACGGTGACGGCGGGGGCGACGGGCGGCGTCGGCATCGTCGGGGCGGCAACTAAGAGATGTGAGTGAAAATTTCCCGAGTGTGAACTTATATAGCAAAACCTTTAGTCCCAGTTCGTGGCACCAACCGGGACTAATACACCCTTTAGTCCCAGTTAGTGCCACCAACCGGGACCAAAGGCCTCTTTTCAGCAGCCCAAAGGGCGGGAAGCGGCGACATTTGGTCCCGGTTGGTGGCACGAACCGGGACTAAAGGGGGAGCATTGGTCCCGGTTGGTGCCACGAACCAGGACCAAAGGGTGGCATTGGTCCCAGTTCGTGGCACCAACCGGGACTAATGGCCTTGCACAGCGGCATGGTGGTGGGAGTTTAGTCCCACCTCGCTAGTTGAGAGCGCCCCGCACCTGTTTATAAGCTCCGCTGCCTCTTCCCACTCGAACTCCTCTCAACTGCAGGCCTATGGGCCTAATCTGACACTGCTTTGCCTGTGGGCCTGCTGGGCCTTCTGCGGGCCTGAATCCTAACCCATGATAGGGTTTCTAGTCATATTCAGGCCGTGGGGGCCCAATAGGAGGCACTTTTTTTATTTTTTTGCTTTCTTTAATTATTGTTGTTGCTTCCAATCCTGGCCAATTTTTGTTTTTTTGTTTTCTTTCTTGCTTTATTTATTTTATTTTGTTTCTACTTACAACAAAATACTTATTATTGCTATTTTTATTTTTTTCCATTTTTTTGTTTTGTTTTCTGCATTATTATTATTTTGTTTTCTGTATTATTTTTTAATTCTTTTGCTTTTAGTTTTAGAAAAATTATAAAATTTCTGTTAGTGCCATTAGTTTTCAAATTTGAAAACACTTTTTTTGTTTTTTTTGTTTCTTTCTTGCTTTATTTATTTTATTTTGTTTCTACTTACAACAAAAAGTGAAGACTTTCTCCAGAACTATTATGATGATACCATGCCAACTTTCAACCTTTTTGTAGTTCATTTGAAATGCATGTTGTAACACACAAGTTTCCGTATGAAATCCTGATACTTCGAAAGAGATTGTCCATTTTGTACACGAAGTGCATCCAGTTTTTGCCGTAACCCTCTCAACTTTCTTGCATATGCTATGTGGATGAAATGATGATACCATGCCAAAATAAAAGAGAAGGCGCAATGCTCACCTACACGTTGCTTAGCTTCAGGCCAATGTGCAGGTGAGCACTGCGCTTCTCCCTTCATCGTCTCTACACTCAGGGCTTATAAACCGCTGCGAGTGCCTCTCGCTTGGCGAGGTGGGACTAAAAAACAACTGCAGAAAGAATCAACTAAATACTCTTTTACCGGTTCATGCCACGAACCGGTACTAAAAGGTGCTCGTGGGGCCCAGCCTTAAAACCTGTATCAAATAAAATGCCTGTGTAACAGCCTTAGAACTGATACTAAAGGAATCAACTAAAAAGCTTTTATAAACCACTAGTATTATTGAAACTAAACTTATATAGAATTTTATTACAAACTTTAATAGCAAAAAGAATTATCATAAAATAAAATAAATAAGTAATTAGAATTTAGTTCAAAACATTAAAAGCAAAAAGAATTATCTTAAAAGAAAATAAATAAGTAATTAGAATTTTGTTACAAACTTTAATAGCAAAAAGAATTATCATAAAAGAAAATAAATAAGTAATTAGAATTTAGTTCAAAACATTAAAAACAAAAAAAATTATCATAAAAGAAAATAAATTAGTAATTAGAATTTTGTAACAAACTTTAAGCAAAAAGAATTATCATAAAAGAAAATAAATAAGTAATTAGAATTTTGTTCAAAACATTAAAAGAAAAAAAGAATTATCATAAAAGAAAATAAATTAGTAATTAGAATTTTGTTACAAACTTTAATAGCAAAAAGAATTATCAAAAAAGAAAATAAATAAGTAATTAGAATTTTGTTCAAAACATTAAAATCAAAAAAATTATCATAAAAATAAATAAATAAGTAATTAAAATTTTGTTACAAACTTTAATAGCAAAACGAATTATCATGAAGAAAATAAATAAGTACTTATCGTACAAGAAAATAAAAGAATTCTGCATTATTTAGCCGTTGGTCCCGGTTCAAGCCACCAACCGGAACCAATGGTGGTGGGCCAGGAACGAGGCCCATTGATCCCGGTTCGTCCCATCAACCGGGACCAAAAGGTCCAGACGAACCGGGACCAATGGCCCACGTGGCCCGGCCGGCCCCCGGGGCTCACGAACCGGGTCCAATGCCCCCATGGGTCCCGGTTCTGGGCTGAACCGGGGACTAGTGGACTGACCCGTCCTGGACCTTTGCCCCCTTTTCTACTAGTGTGTCCGAAGGCCAACTCCAAACACAGCTGAGCTCTAGCCCAAGACAAGCAAAAGAAACACAAGGCAACCAATCAAAACAACCCACCAACCCAAAAATAATTTTTTTGCATTAAGTCATGAGTTGAATACAAACATACTTTCTCAATAATAATAATAATAATAATAATAATAATAATAATAATAATAATAATAATAATAATAATAATAATAATAATATCCAATAAGTGAAAAACGGCGGGGCGAAGCGCACGTGTCCCTCTGGTCATCTTGATGAGTGCTAGACATACCCTATTTCCTAATCTCCACCTTTAACCTGCATCGAAAATTTGTAAATTTTTCGAGGAAGCAAAACTCGTGTTGGGTTGTGATTTTCTTCCGAGATTTTTCGGAAAACTGAATTTCGACTAAAATTCAAAACCTTTGCATGTGGAGAGAGGTGACAGTGATATTGCCACCTAGAGACGAAAGTGCCTTTCTTCTTGGACATGCATGCATGGTGCACAGATTGCCGGTTGTGGTGGATACCTTCTCCTATACTAAGTACTAGCTAGCTAAATTAATTGACAACCACATAGTTGAAACAAGAAGACTGGTCCAACACTTGTCGCCAGAGGCATGCTTCTCTTTCCGAAAGCCATTCCAAACCATGCATGCAGCGAGACGAGCCCTGGACCATCGAAAGAGATGGCAAGCAACCAGTATATAAGCCTACGCATTCTCGCCTTTCGTCCTCAGTACCGACAGGAAGAGAGACCCATGCACCAGGAATCAATTAGCGCTCAGCGTCAACCATGGCCGGTCTGGCTCGCTTCATCCTCCTCCTGCTCCTCGTCCTCGCCGTCCCCGTCGCTCAGCCTACCCCCTACAGTGACAACCTCCAGGACGCGTGCAACAAGACGTTGTTCCCCAAACTGTGCATCCAGGCGCTGACGGGCAACCCGGAGACCCGGACAGCGGACGCGCGCCGGCTGGCCGAGTTGTCCGTGAACTTCGCCAAGCAGGCGGGCACCAAGCTGGCAGCGACCGCTCACGACGAGCTCAACGGTGTCAAGGCGGACGACGCCCTGTTCAAGTGCCTCGACAGCTGCTCCGACGACATCGAAGAGGCGGTGGCGCACCTTAGCGGCCTCAGCCGCGAGGTCACCGACACCAAGTTCCTCGAGGTCAAGTCGTGGCTGTCCGCGACGCTGGGCGGCTCCTCCACCTGTGAGGACAGCTGCAAGGACGCGCCCGCCAGTGATGCCAAGTTGTTCGTCGTAGCCAAGAGCATCGAATTCGAGAAGCTGCTCCGCGTCACGCTCGACCTCATCACCGAGGCCTCCGGCTCCATGTCCGCGTCCGGCGACGTCGCGGTGCCGCCCACGGCGTATCATGGCAGCGCTTCAGGATCCTATGGTGCTGCCAGCGCGCCGGACTTCTATAGTGCCAGCGCATCCGAGTCGTCCGAGAGTGCCAGCCCATCCGAGTCGTCCGGGAGTGCCAGCGCGCCGGACTCCTACAGTGCCAGCGCACCGGAGTCGTCCGGGACTGCCAGCGCACCGGAGTCGTCCGGGACTGCCAGCGCGCCCAGCTCCGAAGCACCATCCGCTGATGCGTCGGCCCCCTCGACCTCGAACGCACCAACCTCCGAGGCACCCTCAGCTGCCGCGCCAGGCCCCTCCTATGGCTCCAGCAGCGCACCCAGCTCCCAAGCACCATCCACTGATGCGTCCGCGCCATCCAGTTCCAGTGATGCGTCGGCGCCATCCAACGCTCCAACCTCCGACGCACCATCAGCTGGCGCGCCAGGCCCCTCCTACGGCTCCAGCAGCGCACCGAGCTCCCAAGCACCATCCACTGATGCGCCGACGCCCTCGAGCGCACCAACCTCCGACGCACCCTCAAGTGGCTCGCCAGGCCCCTCCTATGGCTCCGCCAGCGGGCCAGCTACCGATGCACCGTCGCCATCCCCATCGGGCGCCGACGCGCCATCTTCCGGGTCTGCCAGCGCGCCATCATCAGGGTCTGCCGGCGCGCCATCATCAGGGTCTGCCAGCGCACCATCGTACGGGTCTGCCGGCGCCCCGTCCCCGTCCAACGCCGGCGCTCCTGATGCCGATTCACCTGCATGAGAAACGCGCGCCGGGTTGATGCTTTGGTGCCTAGGCTGAACTTTTTGTTATTATAGGGCTCCCGTTATCTCGTGCGCACGCGAGAAGATGTTGATGCATGCACTTGCGGGCTTTAGCATGTGTTTGGTTGAGGAACCACGTAAAATATAGAATGTCGTATATGGCCCCATTTGAGTGTAACGGGTCGACTTTGTTTGCTGTATTTTATTTATTTGTTCATCGTGGGTGGGTGCAATGCACCCGGTTGTAGCCATTACTTTCCTAGAATGGAATTGTTCCACCTCACTGTTTGGTTGGAGAGTCTGAATGCAAGAAATTTGTTTGAGTTCACATCATGGTAACCTCTCATATGTATAACGCAGATACTATATGGCCAAAATTTGTCATTAGTATAGAAACTATCAATGTAAGCACACAGATCAAGCATATACTTTGAGTTGGTTGAGAAAGTCCACCGGATAATTCAGTTACAATCTCATCATATAAAGAAATATTTAACACCAAAAATAGTTTGACGCTTGATCATTTCCCAAGTGCATAATCTCTGCTTGGGACCCCGGCGCCTTTGCATGGGGAGAAGGATCACGGGCGGCGAAGCGGGTGTCTAGAAAAGAAAAACAAAGCATGCAATATCCCCACGTCCAAGCACGCGGGTCATAGGTTGCTGGAGGATTTTGGTGAGCTTTCCGAGGTGAGCAAAGCTAAGGGCGCTCAGCAAAATATGAAATCAGACTTGGACATGTACAAAAAGCTGATCTCACCACAAGTGTTCTGGGCGTTGAGCAGTTTGGCGGGCATCACTGCGAAGTCGAAGATAGACCTTTCATCATGTTTTCTACATGATAATATTAGCACAAGATGCTTCTAGGTTTATACAGAAGAGCCATTCTTTTTTTTTTTGCGAGAAAAGGAAGATGATATTAAAGCTTCGTTCTTACAGAAAGATCCAGAAAAAAATGAAAATTACACACGGGTCCCTCTGGATCCCGACCACGCCGACGAACAGAACGAGCCGGTGGCGCGCCGCTGCCGCTGCTCCTCTTCACGCCTTGGTTCGGAGCCAGCCCCTCCGCAGCCGGGAAGTCGCCGGACAATGGATCCGAAGATCCTGCGCCCTGAAACGCCATCGTCATCGCGAAGCTTCGCCACACCATCTTCATCTTCAACATCAGCACCCGGATCCGCCGCCTATGCAGATCCGGCGAGGGCTTGACGCGCACGGTGGTTCCGACGAACCACGAGCACGGGGAAGACGAGCACTCCGCCGCAGAGCTCCGTAGAGCACCACCGCCGAAGGGGAGGAGCACCGCCATCAAACTCCAAACCAACTGCGCCGCCGCCTCCACAACGCTGCCGGCTGGATCCCAAACAGACCCTACACTATGTACACGCCGAGATCCGGGGCTTCCCCAACCTCCCGCTGCCGGAGCAGCCGACGGAGGAGGAGAAACCCCTGGATCCCCGGCGGGCGAGGTGGATCGACTGGGGACGTTCACAAATTGCCCCCTCTCTACTGTAGACGAAGAGGGGAACGGCCATCATACAGAAGAGCCATTCAATATGGATGGTTTCTCTTCAGCGAGCGGTGGTCAGTTTGGTTGCACTTGAGCCATGCCTAATTGCTTTGGGCCTGGTGCTCTAGTGTCTGGCTCTAATGATGTTTCTTGATGTTGTATTTGTCTTGTCCCCATCCCCAAGCTCTAGTGTTTTTTTTTCCTTTTTTTCTTTTTTCTTTTTTGGTTTTTATTCTGTTTTCCCTGATTAACTAAGAATGTTAGATTTGGGTCCGGTATTCCTTATAAACTAGGCCATCTCTGTTCTTTTTAGTGAAATGCAAGACCGCCCTCGCAAGGAGGTTTAAAAAAAATGACGGGATATGCAAAGATTTGGTGGGCCGGGGAGAACTGAGAAGGGGATGAGAGATACGGAGGCTGCGAAAGAGAACGAGGTAATTCCACCGATTTGGTGGAACGAGCTGAATATTCTATTGGGGGAACTAGTTGGTTCCAGTTTCACATCTCTAACCAAACACAAGAATGAAGGTTAGGTGTCGATCGAACCCATTCTATTGCATCGCATCAACCAAACCAAAGACACTCTAAATAGGCACGTATGATGGAGATGGAGCCACGGGTGGGGAGGGTGTAGTATTGAGGCAAGTGTAAGTACGGTACTCCCTCCATTTCAAAATATAGTATGTCCATGCTTCTCGAGGTTCAAATTTGACCATAAATTTAACCAACGATACCAGCTGCGGCGAGAGCAAAAATTATATAATTGTTCTTTTGAATACAAATTCATTGGTATAAATTTCGCTTTCGCCGCAGTCAGTCTCGTTGGTTAAATTTATGGTCAAAATTAAAACGGAGAACCCAAAGACGCACTATATTTTGGAACGGAGGGAGTACTAGCAAGTATTTTTATTTCTTAACCAGGAGGAGTAAATACGTTGCTCATGTTTAATATGATTCTTTTTAACTAGCAAAAAATAAAGACGGGGCCTCTAAATTCTAGACCCGAGCAGCTTAAAGATTTGACTTGGAAAGGGAACATATACAAAAAAAACGAGACTAACCCGGGCTAGACTAACCTGTTGGCATTTTTTATAAAAGAAAACTTTGTGAGCACCAAACGCTCAAGTCGAGACTTGAACCCTGGTGGGCTGGTTGTGAACTCCCACTCCTTGCCAACTGAGCTATGCCCAGTTCCCAAAAGGCACATATACACATGGTGGACAATCGATCATGAGCTAATATGCACACAAAAGGGAATAAAAAATCGGGGCACATAGAGCAACGCTTTTGCCCCTAACGAATAGACCTAAAACATGGGCCTATTAGGTACAATGAAATTGTGTCCTAGCAAAAAAGTACCAATGAATGTGGGTAATATAAATTATTTGACCAAGTAACATAATTTGGAGTGAACATCATAGAAACCCAAGATACAAACTAGGCAATTAAGTTGGGACTATTTGAGAAAAACCCTATTTTTTTTCAAAACATTGCCACTATTTTCAAGTTACTCGCTGGTCTCCCCGGATAACAATAGTCTTGAAATTATACAAATACTGTAGCATGAAGGCTCACCTCGACTCCAAATGTTTTGTGACAAAATAACCCCTTGAAGGCTCATCTTGACCCAATTATCTTGTTACAAAGAACAACTTTGACCACAAGCTCCAAACATAACTAGTTGGATTGGAGTTTCACAATTCACAATTGCACGGGTCGATAAAAGGCAACGTTGTGAAGCACATTCACATCAGTAATGGCCAACATATATTCAGAGAGTGTGCCGCCTTCAGATAAATTGCTTAGGCTTGGAACCAAGTCTATTAATGCAGAGGCTGGGGGTTTTAACCTCCTTTTCGGAAAGAAAAGAAATGCATGCGACCAATGTACGGACCAAGCTGTCCAATAATCTCTGTCAGCTAGTTTCCAATGGCCGCGCACTGATTTCTGACCATATTTGGACACCTCATCTTCTTTCTTTAATCCCGGCCGTATAATCCCTCACAGGTGTAGCGTCTGCCTTTGCATAATGCTTCGGTAGTATCCTTTTGCTTAGTAATTGTGTCTTTATCAATGGAATAATTTATTTTGGGGCCACAGCCAGATTTTTCCTCTTTCAAATAAAATCACAAGGGTAGCTGACTGTCTATTATATACTTTCTATGTTTATAGGGCACCCAAAAAAAGCTGAGGTCGGCAAGGATTCATTTGGCCCTGTTTTGTATTAAATATGTCTCTTTTTGTTTGCATGTGCTTCGGTATCATGTACTATCATCTAAACGCTTTTATATTTCTTTACGGAGGAAGTACCTTTTAGTTACGTCATAGAAGATCAACATGAGAAGCTTGGATTTATCGAGCGTAATTGCATCCCGAATCAGGGCTCAACTCCCCTGACATAGTGTAGGTGTAGTTGGGTCACTAACCGGTGGACCAACCTTCTTTTAGACCCACATGTCACGGGCCCAACTGAATCGTGCAATATGCCAGGGGATCCCCGTCCCCCGAATTAGTAGTCAGCAAAATCTCAAATATCCATTTGTCAGCCTAGGTTCATCTGCACCGTGCTGAAGGAAAAAAACAAAATAAATACTAGAAAATTTCAAAAAAAACATTTTTTTTTGCATGGTAAAAAATACTACTCTCTCCGTCTAGATGTCCAGAGCTACTCAGAATTTTGACAACGTCTTACATTATGGGACGGGGGAAGAAGAAAATTTGGTAAATTTGTCTTTTTTGCCGAGAGCTACTCAGATGTCCAAATAATCAAAAAGTCGGAACGGACCTCACGATATAAAATATCTACCACGTAAAAATACTTGGAATTTTTTGTGATTTTCTTTTTGATCAGGCGCTGATGAGTCCGGGCACCGAATCGCTGCACTCGCAAAATCTGGTTTACATATGATCTAGTATTATCTCTCAAAAAAATATAGGATTTAGTAACTAGTAGTGTGCTGTATTACATCTTCCGTCTTGAATCATCTTGCATATTTCTCGAATTCAACATGCATATTTGCATAGATGCCAATGTATATTGGTGGGACTATGTCATGTCAATGTGTATTTGCATATATGCATCCCTGAAAGCGTACATATGTGCAATCAGTTCAGGACAACAAACACACTTAGCCAAGAACATCATGAAACACACCTACTATCAGGCATCTTCCAACGCACCGGTGCTTAGATGAGATGCTAAGCACATTAAAAAGTTTAGCAAGTAAAACCTCTAATGTATAGGTGTTGTTGCTAAGCATGCTCCATTTAATGATTTAACAACTAAAGTTTTTCATGCATTGGTGGGCTTCTTTCATTTAAGTGTTTTATCTAGGTTTGCGTGCTTGACATTATTTCTTTCTGGGGTTGTTACACTCATCTCTCTCCTCTTAATTACTTTGCCACATCAAATTTGTTGCTTATATTGCAGTCTTAGCACATGTATAAGATGAAGCATCGGGAGGGGCCTCAAGACGCGGTCAAGAT